CAATCTCAGAGTTCACAGTGTGATCAAATATCCTGTAACAAGAATAAGCACACCTACATGAATAAGTTCCATGAATGAGGGCCTCATACTTCATCCAAAGAGGGAATTGCTTTGGAGATACTTTCCAAGATCTTCTAAGGTGCTGCACTTTTTCTTCACTCTTTAATTTCTAGGCTGTAACTATTTTGACTTTGCAGTCACCAAAATGTGAGTAGTTCATTGTGTTTTTATTATGCTGCTATAGCATGAATCCTGGAGTTATTTACATACATGATTTATGTAATCACCTGTACTAAGCAGAAAATACCTTAAAATATAGCCATTCTCTTGCATGCCACACTCTACTTTCTTATTATTAAATTAGCATACAAAGTAACAAATTTCCTTATGGATTTTTTCATATGTACTTAGCTTTAGTTGATGTCCCTGTGCCTGCTCCTCTCCATCTTCCTGCCTCCATCCTCATTTGTCCCCTTTGTTCCCAGTATTCCCTCTCTGCTTGCATTTTACATGTATTGTATTACTATTACTCTCCCTATACACTCATTTAAAGCCTCTTTGTTTTCTCTCCTCATAGGCCCTTTCCAGTTCACATAAATAAACATATGTAAAAATTAGAGGCTAAGATCCTATATGAGAACATACACTGTGTGTTTTTCGCCGCCTGTTACCCCATGTAATAGAATATTTTACAATTTCCACCCATTTTACTTGAGTGAAGTAAAATTGTGGCTATGTATCACATTTTCATTCATTCATCTGTTTATGGGCTAGAGCTGGGCTGATTCCATCTCCTTCCTACTATGAGTAGAGCAGCTATAAACATGCATGTGCTACTTCTCTCTGGTAGGATAAAGAGTGCTTTGGGTATGTGGCCAGGAGTGGAATCACTGATCATTGTGTTATCCTATTTTTTGTATGTGGTTTTGTGTTGCAGAATATTTAACTGTGTAAAGATGTATTTCATTTGTTTAGTTATGTAAACATGTGTTGCTATTTTACCTTGCTTACCTAAAGCACCTGATTGGTCTGATAAAAAGCTGAATAGCCAATAACAAGGGAGGAGGTGTAGGCAGAACTTCCAGGCATGGAGAGTAAGTAGGGGGGATAATTTAGATTCAGGGAAGAAAGAAAAAGGGGCAACAGGGACCAGACAGACAGAAACAGAGGAAGCAGAAAAGTAGGACATACAGAATGAAGGAAAGGTAAAAAGCCCCATGGCAAAATGTAGATGAATAGAAACAGGTTAAATTAGGTTAAAGGAGCTAGTGGGACAAGCTAAGGCTGAGCATTCATAATTAATTATAAGTGTCCATTTCCGTATTTGGGAGCTGGTTGATGGCCCAAAGAAAAATCCAACTACAGTTTTGTTTTTTGAGACAGAGTTTCTCCATGTAGCCATGGCTATTGTAGAAACTCAATTTGTAGAGCAGGCTGATTTCAAACTCACAGAGGTCTGCCTCTTTGCCTCCTGAGAAGTGAGATTAAAGGTGTGCGCTACCATGCCAAGAGTGTTATCCTATTTTTAACTTCTTTTAAAAAGTTTTATTTTCATGCACATTGCTTTTTCTCCTGCATGCATGTGTGTGTACCACATGCTTGCCAGGTGCCTGCAGAGGGCAAAAGAGGGCTCTGCATCTCTTATATATATTGTAGATGGTTGTGAGCCACTACAACCATGGGTCTTCTGCAAGAACAGCAAGTTCTCTTCAGCTTTGGGTATGTGTTTTTTAAGCTCCTATTTTTAGTTTCTTGAAAAACATCTATACTGATTTCCATGGCAGCTGCAGCAGTCTATACCCTCAACAACAATGAATAGCATCTTCATGCTGACTCTAACTTTTAAGCTCCTGTTGTTTGTCATCATCCTGACAGATCAGAAGCCTGATGAAGATGCCGGGACACATGCTTTGTGAATACACTAAAAGCATTTTTTATAGTCTAGCAATAAATGAGGACAACAACTAAGGATATAGAGGATATAGAAACTTGGAAGCCAATTTAAGAGACATTAAAAGTAAAGTGTGCCTTTGCTCCCAGCACTCAGGAGGCAGCAGCAGGAAGATCTCTGTGAGTTCAATACCAGCCTAGCCTACATAAGAGTTTAGGAGAGCCAGGACTATATAGAGCGACCCTGTCTCAAAAACCCAAGAGAAGCTCACACTGACCTTCAGCAATTCAGTCACAGTGTAATGGTGCCTTCCAGGAAGTTCTTCATTGGGGGCAGCTGGAAGATGAAAGGGAGGAAGAAGTGCCTGGGAGAACTCATTTGCACCCTGAACTCGGCCAAGGTACCAGCAGATATCAAGGTGGTTTGTGCAACCCCCACCGCCTACATCAACTTTGCCAGGTAGAAGCTAAATCCCAAGTTCCTGTGGCTGCCCAGTGATGGGAGATGTCCTTCTGTATATATGTTTTTCTTATGGTTGAAGAATAAAATACCATCTGGCCAATGAGGCAGGAAGATAGGAGAATTCAGGGAAAGGTAGGCAGAGGGTGCCCACCAAAACAGTTGCCATGTAGATCACGAAGGAGTAGCAGGTCTGGGCATTCTCCAGTAAGCCAAGACCATGTGGAAATACATAGATTAGTAGATATGGGTTAATAATTAAGACAGAATTAGCCAATAAGAAGTCCTAGCCATTTGACCAACAGTTTTAATAATTAATATAGTGTCTGTGTGTTTATTTGGGGCTGAAGTGGCCAAGGGACCTGGCGGGAAAGAAAGCTCCAGTTGTTGTGCCCAAATTCTGAGCCCCCAAATCACTAAGAGCTCCATTTCAATGCAAAAGCAATGAGTCTTTTATTGCAGTTGTTTAATGAGCTAACCCCATTAGCTCAGGGCTTTCGTCCACCCACCATGGCTGGGGAAAGACCCCGAGAAACCACGGGACAGGGATCTTATAGGGCAGTGTAAGGGGAGTGTCTAGGGGTACACAGTCTCAGGATTGGTGTTCGTACAGGCTTGGACAACCTGCCCTGTGTTGATTGGCCAACTGGTTGTTATGGCCCATAGGCCCTCCCAGGGTGGTTGCTATGCTCTGCACATCACTGTGCACTTGTCAGTAAAGCACACCCAGAGACTTAAAGCACAGCCCTGCCCAGCTAACTTCTGATTGGTTCCTAGCCAAGAGGAGGGCATCTGAGCAGAACTGCTACTAAGTGACCAATGGGGCCTTCACTGGGGAGATCAGCCCAGCATGATCAAAGACTTAGGAGCCAAATGGGTAGTACTGGGCACTCAGAGAGAAGGCATGTTTTCTGGGAGTCGAATGAGTTGATTGGAGAGAAAGTGGCCCATGCCCTAGCCGAGGGCCTTGGAATGATTGCCCGTATTGGGGAGTAGCTAGATGAAAGGGAAGCTAGCATCACCAAGAAGGCTGTTTTTGAGCAAACCGAGGTCATCAAAGATAATATGAAGGATTGGAACAAAGTTGTCCTGGCCTATGAACCAGTATAGGCTATTGGTACCGGTAAGACTGCAACACTTCGACAGGTTCAGGAAGCTCCGGGATGGCTGAAATTCAATGTCTCTGATGCTCAGGCTCAAAACACTGGAATCATTTATGGAGGTTCTGTGACTGGAGCAACCTGTAAGGAGCTGGCAAGCCAGTCTGATGTGGATGGATGGCTTCCTCGTGGGTGGCGCTTCCCTCAAGCTGAGTTTGTGGACATCATCAATGCCAAACAATAAGCACAAGCATCTCCCCTACAGTCTTCTAGGTCAGAACTAGCCTGCCCAGGAGTTTAGGAATGGCCCCACCAGCCACAGGCTTCTGATGTCATCTGCACCATCTTGTACCTTCCTAAGCCTTTTACATCTCCCTATAATGGTTGGGACCAGGCTCATTTCCCCACATTGTTCTTCTTTCTAGAGCTGCATTCCCATCACTGTGATAATGACGTCACATCTACAATAGTCATGCTTGGATCTACATGTGAAATGCCACAGCTGTTGTTCTGTGGGTTAGAAGCAGAGACAGCTGATCAACACACAGCCCAGGTCTTGGAATATAGTTATTTTCATCTTCTCACAGTGAGTTCATTTCTGAACAGCTGTCCGTTTCGGAGAACAGCTTTTTCAATCACTTTTCAGACTGCCAACTGCAATCATTACTTAATTTTGACGTCTTTCTAAATCCAGAAAGTCAAGAGCTCTTTCATTTAGCCCAGTATACAAGAGCTGATGATATTAGAACTAGATGTTTTAAAAGGAGTTGACTAAGGTAAAGGTTTGCAGGTCTTGAAAGTAAAATGTCTTGGGCTGGGGAGCTTGAAGTGGAGCAACTCAAAATGTTTTCACTGTTTCTAGCTGACAGTCCTGTCTGGATTTTGCAATGTCAGTTTATTTTGGGACGTGCAATCTTTGTTCTTGACCAGAATCTGCTAGTGGTACTCTTACTTTTTCTGGGGACCTCATTTGCCAATATATCAGGTACATTCCAGTTCATACTGGAATTTATGGCCTCTGCCATCTTAGCTGCAGTGAGAGAAGGGAGAGCTACCTTGTTCTCTTGTTACTATCTACCAGTTACTATCTGCACTAACCATTAACTTGGTTTCCTAGGCATATGCTGGGTTTTGAGTCATTTTTCTTCCACTGGACCTGGTGGGAGCAGAAGTGCTATATAGCTCCTAAGGTCGCTGGGGCAGGCACAGACACCTCCAGTATTCACACCTTTTTGCTTTATTTTTTTTTTAAAGGGTACACCTAAGACTCCATAGCTCTAGTCAGGATCACCATCTCTCTGGACTTGGGATGTTACAGACACAAGTCTCATGTCTATTTCTTTCTCTTTTTTTTAGTTTTTTTTATTTTTTATATATTTGAATTACAAACAAGATTGATTTTTTGCTTTATTTAGAGACTGGGCTTGGCTATGGAACCAATGTTGACTTCCAAATAGTCGCCCTCTTGCCTTGGCGTCCCAAGTGCTGGAGAGACAGGCCGAGGCTGCACTTCCAAATTTCTCCGCCACTTAGCACCCATCACTGGCCTGATGTCTGCGGTTCTGACAGGTGAGACACTGGCCCGCGGTCTCCCGGGTAACCACGTTTACTTCAACTGGAGGCTCCGCCCTCGCTGGCTGGATTCGCTTTTTCATCACGTGATCGCGCAGGCTTGTGCAAGATGGGGCTTGACTGTCTTCCTCTTGCAACACAGTCATGTACGAAGTCCAAGTTTCCCTGGCCTGACTCTGACAGGTCCCCGGAGGAAGGTGACACTGGGCGGAACCTCCGGGCCTGGAAGGACGCGAGCTCCGGAGGGCTCTGCCCAAAAGCTTGCCAGCAGCGGCGAGACCAGTAGCCTGGAGGGGTCAAGCTGGAGTTGGAAGTGGAGTTCCGTGGGTTTGGGGCCGCGGCTGCCGCACAGCGGCTCCTCCAGGCCGAGACCCCAGCGCAGAATGGACAGAAGGCGGCGACCTCCCGGAGGAGTGGCCGGGCCAGGAGCGTGCTGCGCTGCTTCTCCACCGCGGTCCTGTATGCCGCCTTCCTGGGGCTGGTGAGAGCTGAGGCTGCACCCCTCCCAGGCTGGGGCAGGAGCTTCCCGCAGGAAACCTGCCCTCCCCAGCTGGACTCTCACTTTCGCTCCCAGCACGTTCGGTGACAGGGTCCTTCGGGCCCATCAGCTATCTCGTGGGCGCTAATTTAATCACTGCGGGTTACTGTCCAGTTCGAAGTTGATTGTGCTATTTTCTAAATGCAGCAAACTGCCCTGGCATTGCCTGGGTCTAGAGCCACTGCACTCCGAACTATAACTTACTACACAATAAACTGACTATCCTAGCCCTTCCACTTCTCGGTAGCCATCCACTTGGGTTTGCAAATAGGAACTACACCCAAGAGGACAGCGACTTTTTCCTGGTCAAGCAGGTGTTTTAGTGGTGGAGCCAGAATGTGTCTCACTCTGTCCACGATTCTATTGAAACCGGCCCTGCAGCACCTTTAATGTTTTCTTAGAGCAAAATGAAGTGGTTTGGCCAATGCCTGTGTAAACTGTGGGAAATTTCCTGTTACTAGGCCATTGGGACCTGGGGCAGCTGTGGGTTGGGTTCCCCCAGGACAGAGCTATTTCTCCCCTCTTTGAGAGACTGATTGAAACCATAAGCACTGAAAAGCTTTCTGTCACCACCATAATTGATTGGTCTAAGCAGACTCTCCATTCATTACACGGTTCTGATTCTTTGTTCCTCTTTGTTCTTCTGTTTAAACTACAAAGGATGGTTGGATAGGAACAATTAGGCCCTCCCTCCCCCCGCCCCGCGAGGGTAGAGTTTTGCTATATAGCCCAGGCTGGTTTCAAATTCTACATTCTCCTGCCTCAGCCTCCGGGGACTCGAATTATATTCATGCACCACCATGCCTGGCCTTATTTATATCTCTTGAAGGGATATGACACACTAGGAAATAACATGATGTTATCAAGAAAATAATACCATGTAACTCAGCACAATCCTAATGGCTGTCTTTGGGAACCAAACTGAGCCTAATTAACTAACCCAAACATTGCATCAAAAGAGAGTTCAAATATTTTATTTCCTATTGGTCAGAATTATTGTTTGGGTTGTCATGGTAACTTAGGATGATAGCAGGCTGTGAAATCTACTGACTTAAAGTCTTTTTGTAGGTATCCTAGTAACACACATGGGAACATAGAAAAACACTTAACTAGCATGAGAAGAAAGTCTTTGGACAGCCAGTCTTGCAATACTCTATTCTGGATGTCAGCAAACCAACTTTGCTGCTCCCACAAACACTATGCCTTTCTTTCCTGTGAGAAGTTTCCTTAAGATTCATTCATTCAGCAACAGAACCATAGGCTATTTTATTGGCTCTTTTAGTACTATCAGCATCATTATTTGTTGTTATTATCATCATTATCATTATTACCATCATTATTGATGTAAACTGAAGCCAGAGCCTTGTCCATTTGACATGCATGCTCTCCCAACTGAGCTATACCCAGTTCCTCAGTCACTTTTTTCATTACTTTTTTTCCTACAGGGTCTCACTATATAGCTCTGTCTAATATGGAACTTGCTGTGCAGACCAGGCTCGCCTCAAACTCGTAGACAGTCACCTACCTTTGCCTTCTGAGTTCTGGCATTACAGGTGTGTGCCACCACACTCAGCTTCACTACTCTTGTATAGTAGTAAAATCTATTTCATCACTCAGCACCACACACAAAACCACAACACAGGCAAGAAGATCCAAAGCTCAATTTTGTTCACTAATCGATGGGCATGAATGTTCTCAGCCACCCCAGCGCTCCCCACCCTTCTGAGCAGGAGACCTGATTTAGAACACACATTTCGACAAACTTAAATCTTAACTTCAAATTCTACAGCACCACCACCTGTCTCCCAGAGTGAGTCCAGTGCAGGAATCCTGTTAGGATTTTTCTTCAGTGGAAGCTAACTTATTTGTAGCATGGTTGTTGGAACTAAATTTGGATATTGGCCGCTTTGGTATGATTGTGGAAAGTATGGGAAACTGCTCAGAAGGCAGGAGAGAGCCAAGTCAGACAGCAAGTTTAAACAATCAGAAAAGCTGGACAGAGTGGAGAAATTCCCCATAGACCAAACTTGGGCCTTGGAGACTGGAAAACATGGCTACCTAGGGTCATTTGAGCAGAACTCAGTTAAATGTGCTGGCTCCTGAGTTTATGTAGCTCTTGAACAAGGTCCAATGGATAACATCTTTTGTGCTCCCTTAGCATGATGCAATGGTGCATAAGATCATTTAGTGGAAAGACAACCTCCTTGAGTTAGTGGTCACATAGATCATTCTTGGCCCTGTGTGCTCAAGATCAGCTTCTTGCAGATGTCACTCAGACCAGTTCCCTGTATTTGTTGGTGACTACGTTAGTAACTGGAAATCCAGGGCCATATTCCCATGGAGTGAGTGTAGGAGGCACAGAGCAGTGGTGTCCACCATTTCAAAGAGAGCTTTCCCCTCCTTCTCTGGGGATTCACAGTGATGGAGTTTGTTGGCCATAGTGGTAGTGTTTCCTGATTTGGAGGCATTGATTAGCCATAAACCCAACAGCTGCTGCTTTTTGTTTTGTTGCATGGCGTTAACCTTGGTATAGCCTCCATTGTGCTGCGTATCTTCCCTGGAAGGAAAGGGATGGCATCCAGACAGTCAGTGATGGGGAAAGAAAAAAAGGTTTTGCAGTAACAGATCAGTCTTGATTCATGACTTAGGCCGTCCCTACCTAGGATGTCCTCTGCTCCTTGGGAGAACCATTTCTAGGCAGGTTTGCTATAAGGTCCCCTCTAGAAGTGTAGTTTCAATAGTCTTGAGAGTCTTCAGCCTAGGACTCAGGGCTCTGATATTTTGGTGTGTAAACACTGGTGTGGTTTCTTCCAACAAAGTCAGAGGGAACCACCTATGGTGTTATTTCAAGACTGTTGTTCATGATCCAGGTAATGGAAATTCACAGACTTCTTTTTTCCTGGTGAATATACGTTTGTCCTTAAGTCTTCAGCCATGTCACACTTCCTGGTTCTAGACCCCCTCCAAACGGGCCACACCCTCTAATCCTTCCCAAATGGTTCCACTAAATGGAGCCCAAGTGTTTCAAAATATGATTCTATGGAAGGCATTCTTATTCAAACCACTACATTCCACTCCCTGCCCCCCATAGACTTGTGGCCATATCATAATACAAAATGCACTTATTCCAACTTCAAAGGTCTCCATGGTCTTTCACAGTCTCAACACAGTTTGAAAATCCAAAGTCTTTTCTGAGATTCAAGGCAAACACTTAACTGTAAAATCATTGAGCACATCACATATTTCCAACACACAATGGCACAGAATATACATTACCATTCCAAATGGAGGATTGGTGCATAGTGAGGAAATACTGAACCAAAGCAAGACCAACAGAGCAAACTCCAAATCCTGTAGCTCTGTGTTCACTGTCAACACATACTTCTCTGTCTTGGGATGGTTCCTCTCCCTATCTTCAGCTCTCCTTGGAAGAAATCCCATAGCTCTGGCATCTCCAAAACTCTGTGTTCTCCAGTATAATCTAGGCTTCACTTTCACAGCTTCATCAATGACCTCTCTGGGCTTCCACAAAGGGAATCCCTACCACGTGCCTGGCTTCAGCAGCTCTACTTAAAGCTTTACTTAGTGGCAGAGGAAGAGTCCACAGCCTCTTTACTCTTGTACCCTTCATGACTCTAAAGCCAGAATCATGTGGCCGAAGCTGCCAAGTCCTGCTGCCTGGCCCCTTCTTTGGGTTGCATTTGCTTAAGCTTTCCTTTCTATAAATTGGAAGCATGGCTGGGTCTTGCCCTGAGAGTACCACTTTCTTCATTCCATTTCATATCAGGCCTCTTCTTCTCTCTCTCAGCACATGTCCTGGCTCCAACATTAAATTTCCTGGTGCCCCTTTTCTCTCCAATATATATATTTTGTATTTCTTTTCTCCTTTTTCTCTTTCTAATTGTAGATCTGCATAAAAGTCACTGCTAATAATCAAGCAACTGAGTCAGTAGGAGCTGTCTTGAAATTTCCTCTGCCAACAAAATTAGCCCATAACTTTTGAATTTAGCCTCAGGCAGGCTCTTAAGACAAGGAAAAAGCAGTCACATCCTTTGCCAAATGGTCGCTAGTTATTGCTAATATTGTCCACCCGAAGCCTCTTGAGCTCTGCCTCCATAGTCAGCATTGCTTTCAACACTACTGTCTTTCAAGCCTCACTCACAACATCCAACAGCTTTCCTAGTCCAAAAACCAAAAATCTTCCATGTTCCTCAAAAAGAAAAAAAACTCAACAAAACAAACAAACAAACAAAAAAACAGCATGGTCAGACCTGTTATATCTATAGTCCACTTCCTGATGCCAACTTTTACCTTAGTTACTTTAAAAAGTTGTGATAAAACACAATGATCGAAACAACTTATGAAAGAAAAAAACTAGTTTGGGGCTTACAGTTCCAAGGGGTTAGGTCCTCATGGTAGCAGGTAGACAGGTATGGCACTGTAGCAGTTACTGAGCACTTACACCACAACAGCCACAAGGTAGAGTGACAGAGAGCTAACTAGGAATGATGTGGGCTTTTGAACTCTCAAAGCTCACTCCCAGTGACACACCTCCTCCAATCAGGCACCATCTCCTAATTCTTCCCAAACAGTTCCACCAATTGGTGACAAAATAGTCAAACACATGAGCCTTTGGGAGCCATTCTCATTCAAATTACTTACAAAACGCACATTTTGTATCATTGCACACAAGGCTTCCTGTTTGTACTAATCTTATTTTAATGTATTAGAATTTTAACCTGTATTGACCTTAGATTTCATCAAGGATAGTAAATTTGCCATTGTCGATTCTGTGCCAGTCATGTGTAGGCTGCTAAATCTACTGATAATAACTCCTAAAAGAAACATGTGCTCTTAGGATAGCCTAAAAGCCAATGTGATACAGAGTTGTTCACTAATAGTGCCAACTATCTTTAGTCTCTTCAATAAAAACTATGAAGGAGGCAAAATTTTATCACTAATCCTTATGCCACCCCCTCTTTCTTTTTGCTATGTCTAGGTTTAAAATATTTTTTACAAATTTCCTTCATCCCTAACTGTAAATTTCTTTTAAAAAGAAAACTTTTTACAGTGTTATCAGTGTTTTGCCTGCATGTATGTCTGTACACCTCATGCATGCATGGTGACCATGGAAGCCAGATTGGGACACCAGATCCTCTCAAACTGGAGTTACAGACAGTTGTGAGTTGCCATGTGGATGCTGGGACTCGAACTCAGGTCCTCTGGGAGAGCAGCCACCAAATGATCGCTCCAGTCCCCAAAAATGTACATTCTTGATGATAAGAATGGTAAAATATTTTGTCACAGAAGGTAAATCTTTTACAGAGATTTGGTCTTGTGTCTGTTTAGCTGTTTTCAACAAATGGGCTTGAGATACTTATAAAAATGAGGTAACAAGTGGCTATGTGTCATAAGCTGTTTTTCTTGCTGGAAAACAAAATACACAACAGATAAGTTTAATTTTTATAGCCCTATGGAGAAAAAGTTGTGGATCTGTATTTGCTTTATTCATCATGTATCACTGCTTTGTCTGCATATATGTGTGGACACTGCATGCATGCATGGTGTTTGTGGAGTCAGAAAAAGGTACTGGAGCTCCTGTAACAGGTTATAGATGGTTGTGAGCCAACATGTGGGCATTAAGAACCCAAGTTCTTTAAAAGAGCAGCAAGGGCACTTAACTGCTGAGCCATCTCTCTGGGCCCTGATAGTATTTTCTTAAGTAAAATGTTTTTTAAATTTAATTTAGCAATAGAGTCATGTAAAATCATATTAAATATACAAATATAGACAGACATACTTCAACAAATAAGCAACAGATATTAAACTTTTCATTTTAAAAGGCTGGGCATATACCAGGTAAAATGTAAAAGCTCGATAACGTATTAGAGCAAATGCAAATCCAGAGCTTCAGCTAGCTCAGTGGTGGCCTGGCATATTTAAGGTCTTGGGTTCAATCCCAGTACTGCAAAGACTAAACACTAGGTACTGTTTGCTCCAAGTTGTCTTTTCTGACCAGTGGAACAAAATTTCCTGTCTAGAGGCTATAACCTTGACTTTGGAAAATACAAGATTTTTTTCCCTTGAGACCTGTGCAAGGACTCTTACAAAGTTCTTGGATTAATTTGAAATTCCAGAACAGCCAGGGCTGCACAGGGAAACCTGTCTTGGAGAAACAGACAGACAGACAGACAGACAGACAGACAGACAGACAGACAACAGAAAAAAGACCTCATTGATCTTGTCAAACCTTAGATCCCTACCTTTCAAATGCCCACACCAAGTGAACGATCTAAGTAAAGCACCGAATTCTGTCCACTATCTGCTACCTGTCAGTGGTACTCTTGGAAAGATTAACTCATTGCCCACGAAGTACACAGGTTCTGGGCCCATAACCTTTGGTAATCTCCCGTACTTCTCTCTCTCTCTCTCTCTCTCTCTCTCTCTCTCTCTCTCTCTCTCTCTCTGTGTGTGTGTGTGTGTGTGTATTGTTTAAGGGATCTGCCTGAGGCCCCTGGTTGGATACAGTCCAGTGAGGTATCAGATCAGAAGTCATTCTGGACTCAGTCCGGTATAAAATGTTCAAATGCAATCAAGAACTCAATACACCCACCCACATCATCCAATCAGAGGGGAAACCTGCTTCTGACCCTGGCTTTGTGTGAGATCTTGGGGCTCGGGGGCTCTGGCCAGTACGTTTGCTTGATTATTTGGTGCTGTCATGATCAGTGGAGACCTAGTCCCAATTCCCCATATGATGCTAAGATGTCTAATTTAGCAAGAGTTTATCTGAGCAAAGACATGATTGATGAGTTCAGCAGCTCCAGGACCAGAGGAAATATGCAACACTACCCAACAGTGTGGGAAAGGAAGATATACAGACAGAAAAAGGAAGTGAAGCATGGAAGTAGTTGTGATTGGTTCAGCTCGGACAGTCTCATTTGGACATGCCTACACATAGTGCAGCCCATGAGATTGGCTGTTTGTTATGTGAGATAGGCTAACCCAGTTACAGGCCAGAGTTGTTATTAAAACCATGCTGTACTTGTGAGTGCACCATTTGGCAAGGAAGATTGACGTTCTGAGCTTCTGATGGTTTCTTTGAAGAAGAGTGTAGATTTGAGCAAGCTCAGATGACTTACAGTCTATGTATTGTATGTGTAGGACCCCATAAACACCAGACATATTGTAGTTCTGATACTATAAGATCTCAGACCAGAACTGGAAGGTGGCTCGAAGGTTAGGATTCCTCATTCTCCTTCCACAGGATTGGAGTTCATTCTCAGCACCTGTGTCAGGTGACTCACAAGTGTCAATATAACTCTCATTCCAGAACTGAAGCTCTCTTCAGGCTTTCTGGGAGCAATCACACACATTTTGCATATGCACACACACACACACACACACACACACACACACACACACACACACATTGAAAATAGAAATAAAAATTTAAAATGAAAACAATTTGATAATTTTGACATAAATTATCATGTTAATGATTATAGTGTATCTCAGAATATAGAAAACTATTTCAAGTATATATTTGAATATATATTTCAAATGTCTGATAAATGTATATTTTATAATTTTTATTATTTCATTATTTTGAAACAAGGTCTTGTATAGCCAAGGCTGGGTTTGAACTTACTAGGTACCTGAGTATGACCTTGAACTCCTGATGCTGCTATCTCCACCCCAGGAGTGCTGGGATTACAGATGTGCACCACCACAGACAGTTCTGTTCAGTGCTAGGCAGTAAGCCCAGGCTTTGTGTGTTGGGCAGGCACTCTACATCTGAGCTCCATCTGGGCCCATATTTTTATTAGTAGTGTCATTGTTACATTGCCATGCTAGACGTCCAATGTAGACTGAACATGTTGGCAGGCACTCTACCACTGAGTTATAACTTGAGCTTCTTTTTTGTTTGTTTTGTTTTTCAAGACCTGGTTTCTCTATGTAGCCCTGCTGTTCCAGAACTCACTTTGTAGACCAGGCTGACCTCAAACTCACATATCCACCTACCTCTGCCTCCCAAGTTCTGAAATTACAGGTGTGTGCCACCACAGACTGGCTTATCTCCAGCTGCTTGTTAACTTTTACTTAAGTAGGAAAAAGCAGTAAAAATGAAATCATTTTTGGCTGGAGAGATGGCTCAGCCGTTAAGAACACTGGCTATTCTTCCAGAGGTCCTGGCTTCAACTCTCATCACCCACATGGTGGCTCACGGCCATCCATAACTCCAGTTCCAAGGGGTGTAAAACAGCCACAAACATAAAATAAAAGTAAATAAATCTTTAATATTTTTAGAAGAATTAAATAATTTTGGAGGGAAAAGCGTTTTGAAATGATGAAAATCAACCAGGGTCTTTGGATCTGGTAATACTAGTATCATCATTGTGAAAATTTTTTCTACTGTGAAAGGGCTTTAAAGTAAGTGTCTACTTTAAGTGCACATGGATTGAGATCAGTGTTACCCGGAAAATGTTTTCAAAAACTGTACTGAACTTAAACATCTAAGAAATAAAGTGCCTGGTGTCAGAATCTAGGAGTTTGGACCAACACTAGCTAACTTAATTCATGTTGAAGTGGATTTACTGTTAACTAAAGGGCCTTAAAGTAAGTGTCTACCCATGCCTTACTTTCTTTGTAGTCAACAAAAATGAAATCGAAATCCATATTACCTTGTTTCCAAGTAAATCGTTCTTTTTTTTTTTTTTAATTTCAGGGAGTGACGGTTGCCATATTGGGACCCACCTTTCCAGACCTGGCAAGAAATGTGAACCGGAATGTCAGTAGTCTTTCCGAAATATTCGTGGGCCGTGCCCTCGGCTACTTGTGTGGCTCTGTAGTTGGCGGGGTGCTTTTCGACTGTATGAATCATTTTTTACTTTTGGGTAAGTAGACATCAGCTTTTGTTTGCAACTTGACTCTAAGTATGAAAAGCGCAGCCTTAATTCAGACTCGACAACAGAAATGGGTAGTGTGTGGGCATCCTCCCTGGCAACTGGGCTCCCATGGTTCCTGTCCCTACCTTGGCTGGTGGCGGGAATCTGTTCTGAGCCCTCTGGAAACTCGTTAGTCCTCAGGTTTGTTGGCAATCTTGAGGCTCCACTCTCAGGTCACACACTGGTTGACCAGACAGCTCAGCATATTTGGTGATAGTGCAGGTTCCCAGGACCACAGAGATCAAAATGAGCTCTCCACGCCTGGCAGAGGCTCTGGATTGAACGTGAAGAGGCAGGAGACGGTGAGTGAACTGTTTATAGCCTGCATTTCTGTCCGACTTTCTCCATGTCAACCACGATGAGCCAAAGGCTTTCCCATATTCTAGAAATGATGGCAAAGCCCTTAATATGCTCATGACTGAATAAATTGATTTTGTTTATAGAATATTTAGGTTCTCATTAGTACTGTGGAAGAAAGGAAAATAGTTTATTGCTTGTGAGGAACCCTGCAAATGCCATAGCTGGTAGAATAATGATCCAAGTAAGGCAAGAAGGAAATCCAGTTCAACATGAGTTAGTTAGCTAAGTCTGACACCAGGCACTTTATTTCTTAGTTGTTTAAGTTCAGTACAGTTTTTGAAAAAATTTTCTGGGTAACACTGATTTCAATCCATGTGTACAATAAACCTTAAGGTATGACTACATCAAAACTCTTTTGCAGAGTACATGTGACCTCTTCCATAAAGATGGGTTCTATGGCTTAAGGGAGTAGGGGAAGGTCAAGTGTGGTCTAAGTCATCGAACATGTGACATTTCCCCTAAGGATGGGTTCTATTGACTGAGAAACAGTGCTCAAGATAAAGGTTTAGGGAAGAGAGTCTGGGATAAACATGACATTCTGGGCTACTAACAACAGCTACTGTTATGTTTTTATTTAAAAAGAGGAAAAGAGAAAGCTGCAAGATGTGACATGTTAACTAGCAGAGTAGGGAGACTAAAAGAGAAGAGGAAAAGGGGTAATGGCTGACCACCATAGCCGGTCACCATAGAGAGGCAGAGAGAGCTCGTAGGTGAGAGAGAGCCAAGAAGAAACAGAGAGAGAGAGAGTAGAGAAGTGGTGTAAAGAGAGGAAGCAGAGAGAGAGTGAAGCAGGAAAGTTGGAGCTTTTAAAGGGAAGACTGCACATGTGCACTGAGGTTCCACGCATGCCCAGAGTTTTCTTGCGTGCTCTGACTGTTGTTGGGGGGGGGGGTCTGTCTCTTAAAGAGGTAGAGCCAATCAGCATCAAAGCCTGAACCTTTCAGCCACTCCCCACCTTCTGGGTGGGAAACAGGTACACATCTCTCCCGCTGAAGAGATCAGCCTGTGTGCTTGACATTCCTGGTTTCCCTATTGCTTATCTGTGAGCACAAAGACCTCATGCTCTCTATAGTTGCTGTAAACAGAGAATAAGTAAACAGTTGCTCTCTACGGAGAATAAGTAAGCAATACCTCTTATTTCCAAACAATCTTAAAGAATATTTGTGCATGTGCAGTTTGGTGTGAGAGAAGCTCAAATCCCGTGTCTTCTAATCTTGTGCCCTACCACTGCGTGACACACCCACGCCCAAATACATCTCTTGTACTTCCCTTACTATCTGCTACCTTCATTTATTTCAGATATTTTTACCATTTTATTTTAACTGGGGAGAGGTATGGGCATGAGGAAGTCAGGAAAGATGGCCTCACCCCTCACTACAGGTGGGCACCTCACCTGGGCAGGCAAGAGAGCTGGCCCCAGGGTCATGAGAGTGGGAGAACTAGCCCTGTCTCTCACCAGCTACAGCACACAGGAGAGCAACTGTGCAACCTGACAGGGCAGCACACTGGAGCTGACTCTGCTGCTGTGGGGACACAGCTGAGCCAGTCCTGAGGGCATGAGAGCAGACCCCACCCCACTCGTATGCCCCCTCTGCTTTGGCAAGACGGTGGAGCTGGAACTGGTGGTGTGAGTGTGAGTGAGCTGGACCAAAGGGCCTGAGAGCAAGATAACTAGTCCAATCCAGATCCTTACTGTCGGCTGCATTGTGTGAGCTAGCCAAGGCAGTGCTAGAGCGCTCACCCAGGTAGTGACAATGAGGGAAAACTAGTGAGATGACCAACCTAGCTACCACCCAGACCCAGAACCAGGGTTGTGAGTCAGCCCACCCCAACACCACCCCATCTATGAGCTGTTGGAGCATGTGAAGGGGGTGCACCTACAGATCCAAAAGTGTAGGATCTCCACAACACAGCACAGCAGGATATCCAAGAGGAGCCCCAGTGAGAGCCCATTGTCAGTGGTTTAACAGCAGCCAGAAACTCAAACCAGACCAATGAGTCATGGCAACGAACACTTGCAAGTAAAGACATATGGGCTAAAGGGTAAACTGTGTGACTCTAGGGGCCACACTATAGGTTCCATGGTGAAAGACTTAAAATTTAGCAAAGAAATATAGCCCAGAAACCGACTAAGGCCACTACTATGACTTAGTGCCTGGAATTTACCAGCTGCCAGCAATTACTCCCTTACAAGGCCATAAGATAACTGGGCACCAAGAATTCCCAGATGGCCATCCTCCCCTGAGGGCCTCATGAAGGAAACAGATTGCCCCACTAGCCAGTGTGTCAACAATTAACAATTAAGGGTCCCTACGAAACAAAGAGATAGCTACTATTTGCTCAGGCAAGATTAAGTTAGCACATCCTGAGGTCTGCAGGTTTTACAGCTGGGGGGTCAGGAGGCCATCTGATTCCCAGGCCTCCCCTCAAGACAAAGGGCCTCCTAGGAACCCATGACTCTGGTCACATACTCAAGGGACAGAGAGTCGAGGCCCCTCCCTAAGTTTGTGGTTTTGGCCTTTAAAAACACCTGTGCCTGGGGGATGGCTCTGCCCTCTAGCCTGCATGCTGAGGAGGCCCATTTGTACAAATGTCCACCTTTCATTAAAGCCTCTTGCTGTTTGCATCAAGTTTCCACCTCCGCATGGTGATTGGGGTGGCCGAGGTCCTGGGCTGAGATCCTAGGGGTCTTACAATGGCGAGATTCTTCTTTTTGGTTTATTTTGTTTAGTTGTTTATTTTCTGTTTTGTTGTTGCTGTTGTTTTGTTTTTTGTTTTTGTTTGTTTGCTTTGTTTGGTTTTTGGTTCTCCTTTTAAATTTTGTTTTGTTTTGGCAGGGGAGGTTGCAAGGGTGGAGGGCAGATACAGGAGGCAGGAAGATGGTCAGGATGGGAATGTATGATGAGAACTCGCAAAGAATCAATAAAAATGAAAAAAAAAATCATTACCTGCCAGCAGGATGAACCATGTCTGAGCCAAAATTGAGGTTGTTGTGAAGGAGGGGTATGGAGAAGGACTTTTAAAGGGGAAAAACCACCTGAAGACTTTCCATATCTATGCAAACCAGTAGAAACTGTTCTGTCCTGCCAAGTGAAATGGTTAAGACAGCTGAAAACAATCTCTGGGTATCTGTGTAAGCAAGTTACCGAAGGAAAAAAAAGCAGTTAGTCATATGATAACAAGCTGATAGTCACAGCTGTACATCTCTGGTCACTGAGTCAAGGTTACTGGGACTGGAGCTAGAGACAAATGGCTGGTGGGTACCAAGATGGATGCCTGGCATAAAATGGAGCTTCTTTAGCCATATCATTTCACACTGACTCTAGAACATATGAATTAAATCATTGGTTCACATTGATGTAGAGGTAAAGGTTGATATTTAATTAAGCCATTCAATCAGATCCCAGCCCCCATCTTGAGTATCCCTTTTTGTAACACTCTGATTTTAACAGGTATTTGTAATCCTGAAGGAGCCTGGAGGCCAGCCTGAGCTTTAGTTTGCTAATAGGCACCTTGCGCAGCCATTTGTCTTTTGACAGTGATAGGGAAATGGCTCCTTCATTTGGAGGAACTAGTTTTCTTTGAACCTAACACTCCAGCCTGTTACTGATAAGGGGTGATGTAGTCTCTTCTGTAACTGCTCCCCAAGTTAAATAAGATGTAGTTGTCAGGCCCGGGAAGGCTGGACTGCTTGTCAAAGGCCTGGAAAGGGCAGGGTACATATGAATTGCCGTCCATGTTCTGTTGGACCATCTGGGGCTCTCGAAGTGCAGGTTGTTATGCTATATAGCATGGGTGGGACTTTGGTGGATCCCATGGCAGGACAAACACACCAGGCAGACATTACTTGGGATGCTTTACTGGGAGAAGGGAAGGGAGTGGGAAAGGGAGGGGAGAAAGGGGAGAGAGAAAGAGAGACAGACAGACGGTCAGACAGACAGAGATCTGCCTGCCTCTTCAGAGAAAAGAGGAAAGGAAGCGGGAGTGGGCAGAGCTTGTCTCTTAAAGGGACCCTTTGCACCTGCATACAGAGCCAAAGTACTGCCTGCCATACATGCAGGGGTGGCATTCTCTGCCAGGTCCCTAAGGGGTGGGGCCAGGTTTGCCTGGATGATAACACAGGTAGTTTTGGAGCAGCCTGGATGCTGACCTGAAGCTGGGGTCAAGGTGGAAGGACTTTCTGTTGGACACATCTGGTTACATCTGCTTTCAGAAAGTTCAGGACAGCACGGCGGAGCTGGTTCTCTCCGTCTAGCATGTAGGTCCTGGGGACCAAGCTTAGGTCATCAGTATTGGAAGCAAGGTACCTTTACACACTGGGCCATCTCTGCAGCTCCTTCAGTATATATTTTGAGACAGGGTCCCTCACTGAACCTGCATTCTACCATCTGGACTAGACTGGCTGGCTAGCAAGCCCCAGGAATCCTCCTACCTCCTCCTCAGCTCTAGGTCGACAAGTGTGCACAATTTTCTGTTTGTAAGATCCATTTACTGTCAGTAGGCACTTCACTGAGCCATCACCTCCAGCCGTATTTAAAGTTTTACTACAAACTTCCACAGCTGCACTTTCTTTTGCCTTTTTGTTACCTCAAATTCCTTTCAGATTATAAATGTGAAACCTGCAAATTTTTTCAGCCTATCTTTATTTGTTAGAAAGATTGTTGTGTTGTGTTTATAATTTGTTTACAGTATTACAATGGCACTCGTGTCATAATTATATATAATATTTATTTATTTGAGGCAGAGTTTCTCTATATAGTCCTGGATGTTCTAGAACTTACTACATAGACCAAACTGGTCTCAAATTCACATGATTCACCTGCCTCTGCCCCCCCCATGCTGAGATTACACCACCATGCCCAGAAATTATTTTAATTACTTTTAATTCATAAAGATAATATCATATTTACAAGACATAATCCATTTGTAGAAATTCTCAAATGATCCAGTTCTCACGTAAGTGACCTGACTGTCATTTTCGCTTTTAGCACATTAGCCTGACTGCATGGATTCTGTTTCTATAACTGCCATTCTCCCCCTCCTTAGGGATGTCGATGCTGGCTACCACGATTGGTCTTTATCTCATTCCTTTCTGCAAGGCAGCAACATTACTGATTGCCATGATGTCTGTGTTCGGTGCTTCATTTGGCGCTCTGGATACAGGTTAGTGGCTGTGAGTGTTGTCTCTGGGGAAAGCGGATAAAATTCCACTAGCACCTGCAAGGCTCATGAAATGGCATGGACTCATGTGATGGCTGCAGTGTCAGTCATGTAAGCACACCCTTCTAGCTGCTGTGCTTCTTACCACCAGGGCGACAGTTTTGAATAATTGGTGGTGAAGTGAAGTAGAAGGTATTTCCCTGTGAGGAGTATTGATTTTCAGTACCCAACTGTGAAAGGATCCATTCCTAATGGGTAATTATGGTGTAAGTTAGAGGGCTTTCATTTTGGGATAGAATTTGATCATATTAAAAGAATTACTAGAGAGGACTAAGGTTGGAACTGAAATTGGGCTGTAAAAGCATATAAACAGACTTTAACTTAAAGCACACCCATTTCTGAGTTCAGAGAAATATATGTTGTGCACAACGCTTCTCAGTTTATGTAAGAGGTTGCTGTGTCCACACATTTTGAAACCCTCTTGAACAATGAGTATGAAGTTAGTTTGCCCCCTGTTTCAGCTTCCTATCCCTCCCCTCCTTTCTCTGGCAGTGTTAAGGTGAAGGTCGGAATTTGTTATGCTTTAGGCTTCATTTGGTCGAAAAATTACAGAGTGGAATTAATGTGTTTGTCTGATTTTTAAAAAGAACTACAGAGTCGAGGCTTTTTCACATTGCAGCTGCTCTTACAGGGTGAGCTCAGTTTCTAACTGAGTGCTTCTCTCATAAATAAATAATCTGGGGTGGTTGCCAACTACAAGTTCATAAAGCTAAACATGTGCAATGTATTTGTTAAAAGTTTGAAATATATTTATTAAATAAATTATAAAATTTGCAATGTATTAATTGTATATGTTTATCACATACATAATAACAAGCACATGGATAAATATTACACCCCCAGTGTGGTATTTACACTATTCTGCAAAAACCTTAGCAAATGCGCCTGGCTCTAGAAGGTGGTGATCACACTCTCTTGGTCACATCTATAAGACATTACGATGCATAGTTCTTGGTGGTGCATTAGAGATCTTTAACTATGTAATCAGCTCAAGGCTGACATTTGATAACTTAGAACATCTGTCATGTTCATACTGTGCAATGCATATTCATCTGCTTCCTTCCTTCCTTCCTTCCTTCCTTCCTTCCTTCCTTCCTTTCTTTCTTTCTTTCTTTCTTTCTTTCTTTCTTTCTTTTTTCTGAGACAGGGTTTCTCTGTATTGCTTTGGAGGCTGTCCTGGAAATCACTCTGTAGACCAGACTGGCCTTGAACTCACAGAGATCCCCCAGCCTCTGCTTCCCGCACGCTGGGATTAAAGGCTTGCACCACCAACGGCTGGCTCATCTGCTGTCTAATGACACTGAATGTAATTGGTCTTTCTTTGGACCACCAGTTCCCAAATAATAACACAGAGACTTATTATTTATGAATGCTTGGCCTTAGCTCAAGATTGTTCCCAACTAGCTCTTATAACTTAAACTAACCCATTTATATTAATCTACATTCTGCAACATGGCTTGTTACCTCTCCACCAAACTTTATGTGCAACTTTCTCCACATCTTGCTGGCTAAACCTGCCTCTCTTCTTCCCAGAGGTCCTCTCTTTCCCTGGAAGTCCTGCCTACTCTCTCGTGCCTAGATATTGGCCATTCAGCTCTATTAAACTAATCAGAAGGCACCTTAGGTGGAGGCACATCTTCACAGTGTACAAAAAGATTATCCCACAAGAAATGAAACATTTTTGTTTTTATAATGTTCTTTAGATTTTAATTTTTATTATTTTTATTATGTGTATGTATTTGTGTCTGTATGTGGGTATGTACACATGAGTGTGGGTGTCCAAGGAAGTGAGAAGTTGCTGCTCCTACTGGGCACTGGAGTTATAGGGGCTTGTGAGCCACCAGACTTAGGTGCTGGAAACCCAATTCTGGTTCTCTGCAAGAGCAATAAGTACTCTTAGCTGCTGAGCTGTCTCTCCAACCCTGGTCTTTTATTGTTTTAATAAGTTACTATGTCTAGCAGATGATTTTCTCCATGTTTCATTGGCAGGTGCAAATGTCCTCATCTTGGCTCTTTGGGGGGATGAAGGAGCCCCACACATGCAGGCCTTGCACTTCAGTTTCGCCTTGGGTGCCTTCCTGGCTCCCCTGTTGGCTAAATTGGCTTGGGGAACATCAGCATCTACTCAGAACCACACAGAGCCTGACTTTGACCTTCTAATGATGAACAGATCTTCTGAAGCTACCTCAGATTCTCTGTTTGCAGTACCTGAGGACATGAACCTGCTGTGGACGTATGTTTCCATTGGCACGTATGTTTTAGTGGTGTCTGTCTTTCTGTTTGGTCTGTTTTGTATTAAACGCTCAAGGCAGAAAAAATCCACAGCATCTGGTCAGAGAGCTCGAAGAGCTAAATATCACAGGGCCCTGCTCTGTCTCCTCTTCCTCTTCTTCTTCTTTTACGTTGGAGCTGAGGTGACGTTTGGCTCTTACATATTCTCCTTCGCCACCACCCATGTTGGCATGACAGAAAGTGAAGCAGCTGGCTTGAACTCCATCTTCTGGGGGACCTTTGCTGCTTTCAGGGCCCTGGCAATCTTCTTTGCAACAGTCCTACAGCCTGGAACCATGATTGTGTTGAGCAACATTGGCAGCCTTGTCTCATCTTTCTTTCTGGTGCTTTTTGACAAGAGCCCTCTTTGTCTCTGGATCGCAACTTCTGTGTATGGAGCCTCGATGGCAACCACATTTCCCAGTGGAGTTTCCTGGATTGAGCAGTACACCAGCATTAGTGGGAAATCTGCAGCATTCTTTGTCATTGGTGGCACTGTAGGAGAAATGGCGATGCCTGCAGTAATAGGAATTCTTCAAGGACACTACCCAGATCTGCCAGTCATTCTGTACACCTGTTTTGCATCAGCCATATCGACTGCTGTTTTATTTCCTGTGATGTATAAATTAGCCACCTTACCTCTGTAATTTTAATAAGAAGAAAATATCTCTGGGGCTCAGAACACTTGGCCCTCTAAGTTTGGCCCATAAAGAAAAGATCACATGGAAAGATGGAGAAAAACATGAATGAAATGGATTTTGAAGTTGTTGAACAATGCAGTGAGGCAATGTGTAGCTATCAAGAAATATCTGATGGAACCACAGTTGGTGCCCTCATTGATTGCTCTCAGTACATTGATTTGGATAAATAGCTTGGTAATCCTCTGTGGAATGCTGTCCTTCTTTCTTGTGACTGTGACCAATACTTGACAAGAAGCCAAGGAAGGGATTATATTGGCTAACATTTTAAGGATGCAGTCTACCATGGAGGGGTGGGCATGGTTGCAAAAGGCTCCATGTGTCAGGAGTACCTTATTCCTTTTGGCAGAACAAGAGGCAGAGAGGGAACAAAACTGTGTCCAGGTCTAAAATCTCAAGCCCAACCCCTAGTGATGGACTTCCTCCAGAGGAGCCTCACTTCCTCCAGAGGAGCCCCACTTCCTCCAGAGAGCCCCACTTCCTCCAGAGGAGCCTCACTTCCTCCAGAGGAGCCTCACTTCCTCCAGAGGAGCCCCACTTCCTCCAGAGGAGCCCCACTTCCTCCAGAGGAGCCCCACTTCCTCCAGAGGAGCCCCACTTCCTCCAGAGGAGCCCCACTTCCTCCAGAGGAGCCCCACTTCCTCCAGAGGAGCCCCACTTCCTCCAGAGGAGCCCCACTTCCTCCAGAGGAGCCCCACTTCCTCCAGAGGAGCCCCACTTCCTCCAGAGGAGCCCCACTTCCTCCAGAGGAGCCCCACTTCCTCCAGAGGAGCCCCACTTCCTCCAGAGGAGCCCCACTTCCTCCAGAGGAGCCTCACTTCCTCCAGAGGAGCCTCACTTCCTCCAGAGAGCGCCACTTCCTCCAGAGGAGCCTCACTTCCTCCAGAGAGCCCCACTTCCTCCAGAGGAGCCTCACTTCCTCCAGAGGAGCCCCACTTCCTCCAGAGGAGCCTCACTTCCTCCAAAGGAGCCTCACTTCCTCCAGAGGAGCCTCACTTCCTCCAGAGGAGCCCCACTTCCTCCAGAGGAGCCTCACTTCCTCCAAAGGAGCCTCACTTCCTCCAGAGGAGCCTCACTTCCTCCAGAGGAGCCCCACTTCCTCCAGAGGAGCCTCACTTCCTCCAAAGGAGCCTCACTTCCTCCAGAGGAGCCTCACTTCCTCCAGAGGAGCCCCACTTCCTCCAGAGGAGCCTCACTTCCTCCAAAGGAGCCTCACTTCCTCCAGAGGAGCCTCACTTCCTCCAGAGGAGCCCCACTTCCTCCAGAGGAGCCTCACTTCCTCCAAAGGAGCCTCACTTCCTCCAGAGGAGCCTCACTTCCTCCAGAGGAGCCCCACTTCCTCCAGAGGAGCCTCACTTCCTCCAAAGGAGCCTCACTTCCTCCAGAGGAGCCTCACTTCCTCCAGAGGAGCCCCACTTCCTCCAGAGGAGCCTCACTTCCTCCAAAGGAGCCTCACTTCCTCCAGAGGAGCCTCACTTCCTCCAGAGGAGCCCCACTTCCTCCAGAGGAGCCTCACTTCCTCCAAAGGAGCCTCACTTCCTCCAGAGGAGCCTCACTTCCTCCAGAGGAGCCTCACTTCCTCCAGAGGGGCCCCACTTCCTCCAGAGGAGCCCCCACTTCCTCCAGAGGAGCCTCACTTCCTCCAGAGGAGCCCCACTTCCTCCAGAGGAGCCTCACTCCTAAAGGTTCCACAACCCTCTAAAATAGCATCCCCAGTAAGGCACCAAGTGTTGAAATAAATAAACCTGGGGGGTGCATTTCATATTCAAGCTATAACAAGCATCTCATCAGAAACCTGGACAAGAGTTCTTATTGACTTCTCTGTTTCTTGGGGATTAGGGACAGTGCAGGTCAAACTCAGGACTCTGCATGGGGCCAGGCAAGCATTCTACCTCTGAGTAGATCTTTAGCCTGTGGCTTCCATGAATCCACATATCTAAATAGGCCAATCAGAGAAAATCATAAGCAACAGTTCAATGGTCTCTGGGGATTGAGGTTTCCAGGTCAATGTGTAGGGAAATGCTAAGATATTTTGAGATGATCTGCAGTTCCCAGAGTGTTACACAAATACCTCATGGTCTTGTACTGTCAATCTCTTCTTACAAGGCTTGTTTTGGCAGGAGCCATTAGGCAGTATTTTATGGTCTTTAACTTTCAGAGTGTATAAAGAATTCACGCGTGTTTGAAAAGTTGGGTAGTGTTCAAGTAGATCAACACCACTGAGGAAGAGAATGCATCTGCTGAGCAAATAAATGGCCAGGCCAGCCACATCTACCAGGAAAGCTGCGGAGAGTGGCTTCAGAAAGATTGTATTTGGATATAGACAGATACTTTCATTTTGCTTGACTTTACCAGTTGCTGAATTAAAGAATGCTAATGACTCATTTTCCTATGCCTATAAAGACATTATGTGATGGCTTTAAAGAGAGCTTCCTGCAAGACCTGACTGCCTTCTGGGTCTATGCTGAGGCACTTCCATGGCCTCGTTTGTCTAGTCCTCTGAATTGTGATTCTAGAAATGAAAAGGGGATGCTTTTCCAGCCAAGTTTGTCCAGGATGTCTGCTGGAACAGCCAATGGCTCATTGCAAAAGAGAAGTGAGACAGAGCGATAGACAGGTGAAGGCTCCACTGACTATGAGTACATGCCAGTTTGATATGCTTACTGTTTATGTGCCCATTGGCTTTCTGACCAGTGTGTTTTTACTACTACATTTCACTGATCTGAAGAGGTCTCTTTCCTTCACAGGTTATGCCTACATGAAACAGCCTATGTTTTATAGTCAATGGTCATTTAATATCATGACAAATTATAATTGACAGCAGGTTTCTGTATACAGATTAAAGATAACATGATTTACATTCAGTGTTTTATATTAGTGAAAAAAATGGTAACTACTTCAGTTGGGGACATTGTATTTGTTATTCTTTTAAGCTGCAGCTGCTGATACAAAGAAAGGAAGCTACGGATGAATAACCCACGTGGAGTTCATTCACCAGAAGTGGGGGGGATGGAGCTGGGTTGTCAACCAAGAAGAGCCAAAGAGGGAGAAATATGGAAGGCTGGACCTTTTAAAGGGAAGACTGCACATGCAAACTGGGGTTTTGCACATGCGCAGAGTCCTCACGAAGGCCGTAATGCGTGGCCGGTGACGTGGCGATGACTTAACATGTTTTCCTGTGCGTGCCCCACCTGTTGTTAGGGGGTCGGGGTCATCCAGGTGTATTGTTCTTACAATATTACTTTTGAAGACAATTTTAGGGGAAAAGCTATTTATTTATTTTGAGATGCGTCTTACCATGTCATTTAGCCTTGTCTCAGACTCTGGAATTCACACAATCCTCTTTCCATGGCCCTCTGAGTTCTTGGGAGCTACCAGAATGTACCACAGCATTGGGTTTTTTTTTTTGTTTTGTTTTGTTTTTTTTTTTTTTTTTGAGACAGGATTTCTCTGTGTAGCTTTTGAGCCTATCCTGACACTCGCTCTGGAGACCAGGCTGGCCTAGAACTCACAGAGATCCGCTTGAACATTGGGTATTTTTAATATGTGAATGTCTGTCTAACCTCTAACATGAGGTTAGCTCATTAAACCACTGCAATAAAGCCTCCTGCTGTTTGCATTAGGCTTTCACCTCTGGCTGGTAATTGGGGTCGCCGCAGTCCTGGGCCGAAATCCTGGGGGCCTGAGCCACCAGGGTCTTTCAGAACACTTGGGTTACCCATCATACAATATTCCTCCTGTCCAGGTTGAAAGTACCTGGGGAACCAAAGTAACACTGAGATGGTAGAATGATGACCATGAGTCAGAGGGGAAAAGGCTACTTCATATTAAATATTGTTGTGCCCAAACTCTGAACTCCCAAATCACCAAGAGACCCAATCCAATGCAAAAACAAAGACTCTTTAATTAAGGAGTTAACTGTATTAACTCGGGTCCTCCATCCATCCCACACAAAGGGTGGAGCAAGAAGGACCCAGAGGTACCGTGGGGCAGGGAATATATTTGGGTAGAGCAAGGGGAGTGTCTGGGAGTCGGCTAGTTGCATAGCAACAGTCTCAGGATTGGTGCACCTCTGAGTTTGGACAACCTGTCCTGTGTTGATTGGTCAGCTGCACCTGCAGGAATGGTTGTTATGGTCTATAGGCTCTCCCAGAGCGGTTGCTGTGCTCTGCATTCCGCTGTTACCATAAAGCACATCCAGAGCCCTGCAGCTAACTTCTGATTGGTTCCTCACCACATGGAGGGCAGGTCGGGAGCTCAGCACATGTTGCTGAGTCAGGGGCCTACATATTACTGGGTCTTTTCTGCCACCTGCCATGGCTGCCAAAGCAGGGGGCTGGGTGAGGGTCTGGTCCCTTCAATATGACAAAAACTTATGTGTGCTATCCTTTATAAATGGGTAGAAGTGAGTGGTTTTGTTTACTTCTTCCCAAGATTTATGGTGAATGGCATTTAATTCCAATCTGATTGTAGTGGGTTTATTTTCTCATAACTCTCTAAGTTGCTTCTGAATAAACCTTCGGCTTGAGTGAGACGTAGTACCTTTCCTCACCACAGGCACACAACTTGGTTCATGTTGTTGTGCCCAAATTCTGAACCCCCAAATCACCAAGAGGCCCATTTCGATGCAAAAGCAGAGAGTCTTCTATTGCAGTTGTTTAACTAGCTAACCCCATTAGCTCGGGCTCTTCATCCATCCACCACAGTGGATGGCTGGGAAAAAGACCCTGAGAAACCATGGGACAGGGATCTTATAGGGCAGCATAAGGAGAGTGTTTAGGGGTATGTAACAGTCTCAGGATTGGTGTGCTTCCAGGCTTGGATGACCTGCCCTGTGTTGATTGGTTAACTGGTTGTTATGGCCCATAGGCCCTCCCAGGGCGGTTGCTATACTCTATAGGTCACTGTTGTGCACTTGTCCATAAAGCACACCCAGAGCCGTAAAGCAC